ATTTAATATTAGAATATAATTTGAACGCATAATACACTTATGCCTTCAATTGTGTCAAATGTGTGAATTTGCAATTTTGATGTGTTTTATATATTCTTTATAACTTAACTTTTCAATATACTGTGTAGTCATGAAAAATATTATGAATATAAAAATAATTTTATTACTTGTTTATTGTAGTCATTCATTCCTATGTTGTATGTGTTACGTATGATAAGTGAAAACTCACTTGAAATGTATAGCAATTAAAGCAGACAAAAATTAACAACAATTTCATTTGGTTCTTGTTTATAGACTCAGAGTCTGGTTATGGATAAGAATAACAACTGTTTTTCTTATTTAAATATTTTATTAAAGATTATTGATATGAGAAACGGGACGACAATATTGGAGAAGAAGTTAGAGTCGAGGCATACAATGGTTTCAGCGAAAGAATGCATACCTCAGCTCATCAAAGGAGAAACGATTCGATTGGAGGGATATCTATTCAAACGGACGTCAAACACGTTCAAGACATGGAATCGTCGCTGGTTTATAATACAAGACCACCAACTCGTCTATCAAAAGCGATCGCATGAGAGGGAACTCACAATTATGGAGGAAGACCTCAGACTCTGTACTGCAAAACCCGTCCAATTCATGGAACGGAGGTTTTGTTTTGAAGTTCTTTCGCCTTCAAAGAGTCATATACTTCAGGCCGACTCCGAGGAAACGTGTCAGCAGTGGATCAGTGCTATGCAGGCCGGCATCGATGCTGCGTATAATCACAACGACGCGGCCGTTGATATACAAAGTGTTCACTCACAGGACTCGTGGGGTACGGCCTCAAGTAATTCCAGTGCCAATAAGTCCTCCAGTTTTAACAACTTATTGTCCGCAACTGATGGCAGCTGTGGTGGAGGTCCGCCCCCAGCAAAACCCCCTCGCGTTACTTACACCCAAATCCTGGCCATTCCTGGCAACGAGTTTTGTTGCGATTGTGGTGCAGCGGATCCCAAGTGGGCGAGCATTAATATCGGTTCCACTCTTTGTATTGAGTGCTCTGGTATTCATCGCAGTTTAGGCGTACACTTAAGTAAAGTGCGATCTCTGAATCTCGATGCCTGGGATCTCGAACTCATTAAAGTGATGTCTTCTTTGGGCAATACTATTATCAACACTATATATGAGGCAAAGGTAGACGAATCAGTGGCCCAAAGAGCAAAAAGCGACTCCGATCGCACTCAACGAGAGCTTTGGATTAAAGCAAAATACGTTAAAAGGGCTTTTGTTGATAAATTAGAAGTTGATCTGTTAGCCACAAATGAACAACAATTGCCACTTTCATCAACTGATTCAACCATTATCTGTGATCATAATAAGAGCGGCGAACAAATTGAACCAAATGTAGACAACGAATCACACAATACTTTTAATTCTACTTTAAGTTGTGTACAAATGAGTGATACGACTGTTAATAAATGTGACAATATTTCTCAAATGTCAGACAAAAGAAATGAAGAATTGGTCGAAAGTGATTCAGAAGAGTCAGACTCAGAGGAATCGACAAAATTGATTCTATCGGACAATACATTAAAAAATGTGACCCAAAATTGTGATAACAATTGTCATACTGTGAGCGACGATAAACAAGTTGTAACTTTGGGTCGAGATTACGATAAAAGTGTTGTGGAAAACAATTCTTCTATCAAACCCATGCCAAGCGGTGATAACAATGAAGTTTATAACTTAATGCTTTATAACGCGGCCATTGATTGCGATGTGAAGGTAATGTGTGAGGCATTAGCCAAAGGGGCGATCATTAATTGGCACAATGCGGACGATGAGAATCGGACAGCTTTACATCAGGCAATCAGCAGCGATCGCGTCACTCCATGTGAATATCTGTTATTAAACGGCGCCAAATCAAATGTTGCCGACCATAAGGGCACCACACCATTACATTTGGCCACTCAGAGGGGCAATACTGGGTATGACAGCAAACTTAACAATGATATTTCAAAATGTGTCTAAAACAATATTTTCAATCAAATCAATGACAGTCAAGTATGTCTACTGTTAAAACGTGGCGCTGACCAGAAGTGTACCGATAGTGATGGACACAACGCTCTCTCCATTGCTGTTAATAATGCGAACGCAGATATCGTTACGCTGTAAGTGATAATTGATGTTTTTGTTGAATTTATATTTGTTGTTCACATTTCATAAACAAAATCTTTTATATGTTCATCAATTACTGTAACCATCCATAACAGGAATGTAAACATTTAAGAATGTTAATAATAATTGTTCATTTTATAATTGTACCGTATGTACGGTATATTGTAAGATGGTCATTTTAAGACATTAATTTACGTTATATTCTTATTAGAATAACTTTTTGAAATGTGTTACAAGTTTGCAATTGTATTGTCAATTAATAGTGAACATGATTAATGATAATGAGATGGATTGTAACCTAAGTTATCTCTAACTAACATCACTATACACTATATTTGTATGTAGTATTGTTTGCCAACAAATTGACACTTTGTTTGTAATTTCAGTTTAAGACTCGCGAAACTCAACGATGAAATGAAAAACGACGACGAATTTGGTAATATTAGTGACGAGACATTCAATGAAGTGGTTCGCGATTTCACACAACTGGCCGCTCAGTCGCCCGAAAAGTTGCGCAGAAATACTATACAACCAGAACCCAACTCATGAAACAGTCATGTCATGTCATATTTGATCATTTATTTCAAACACTTATCTAATGTCCTATTTTTAAATATTTATATTGTTTTTAAAGTTTTGACAAATTTGTCATTTTTAAATTATAAATTTATTTTTTTGTCAATAATTAGTGTTTTATTTTATTTATAGCATTTGTAATCAAAGTTTTGAATTTAATTATCTATAAATTTAGTGAATCTCTTGGTGTGATTTGATTACAAAATCAAAACATAATTATATTTACTTTTATGAATAAAGAATTTACATGTTCACATAATTGACATGAATTAATGCTCAATTGATCGCTGCAACCAAATTAGACTCCATTTGATGAGTCATTAAGTTTGCTTTACATTAACTCTACTCTCAATTGCATTTCGTAGTCAATCGTAATGACAGCAATGGTGAGTACATTGGGCGGCAAATATTGTCTATTAGTTATACCATAACTTATACCACATTTCATTCAATGAAACGAATTCATCAAAGTTTTGATCTCATGTTTTGCGTATATTGTCTACTCATAGGTGGCGGTCATATGATTGACTCGAAATCAATGCTTTAAATGTGCTGTTCATACATATTATTTTATTATTTAGCTCTTAATAATAACCCCCAATATACTAGTGTACAGAACCCGTCGCCCCTTAACCCCACTTTATGCCTTTACCTAACCTGACCTAAGCTGACCAAACATAACATAATCTAAAATTAACGTTAGACACGTTGGGCATGTGGGCACGCCATATGTGCTGTATGCGATACTTAATCATGTTTGTCCAATTTGAACTCGGGCCCGCGCTTACCATTTTGAGCTTTTAATTGTTGAAAAAGTGAATTCAATGAAATAGCTTGTTGTGTTGTTGTGCTAATTGGCATTCAATTATGACATTTATAACTATTGCATTAATAAATCTATTGCAATGAATAGTTTCAAAGTTTCAAAGCAGTCATAGCTAATAAAGTTTTTTTTAAAAATTATTCTGGAGTTTACCAACTCTTTAAAATGGTTACGCTGTATATGAATGCTTATACTTATAAATCTCATTGTTATGTAATATATTCACAAATACTATGACTAATAGGAGGGGATTGTGCTGTGAATGAGTGTTAGGGTTTGTGCGTAAGAGTTGACTGAAATGATAGTGAAAGTGGGAGTAATAGGGGTTGGAATGCATGACATGAGCCGGTGTTGGACTGGACTCTGTGTGGAGGCCTTGAGTTGTTGGCCAATGAGAGGCCGGTATTGGATATAAAGGTTCAGCCATTTTGTTGATGAGGTTTAGATCGCTATGAATGCAGTGATTGTATAGACGTTTGGACGCAAACATCAAGACGTCTGTCGAGCATAACATCACCGGTCATCACATCTGTGGCAGACCTGACCATCACATCCACCACTAATACACCAACCATTGTCTGTCTGTAAGTGAGTGCTGTCTGTGAAGGCATTGATGTACTCATTGTGAGCCCATTTCCCACAACAGCTAAACAACTGCAGACATGTCTGAAACCGCAGAGACTAATGGTAAGGAACCGCAACCGCCCAAGAAGGTCGTCGGTAAGCACTTCCACTCTCTCATTGGATGCATTGTCTCAATGTTGTGTTTGTGACGACAGCGCAACGCATTCAGGGAACTGTCAAATGGTTTAACGTGAAGAATGGCTACGGATTTATATCCCGTAACGATCGCGACGGCGAAGATGTGTTCGTCCATCAGGTATGCGACCAATGATTTTGGCCACAAATGTGTCCATTAGTGATGTATTTGTGTCCACTTATCACTTATCCCTCATTATTACGATAGCGTTGAGACGTTGACCTCTATTTGTTGTGAACCAGTTTTAGTGCACACAATATCCCCCTCTCATACCATTCATACTCTTCTCCCCCTCTGTCTCACGCTTTCACTGCTATTGTGTTTTTTGTCCTATATTTGGGTGACAATAGAAATGGGTATAAGTTTGTTGTGTTTGCTTTCAGTCGGCGATAGTGAAGAACAATCCCTCAAAAATGGTGAGAAGTGTCGGCGACGGAGAACTCGTCGAATTCGACATCGTTGAGGGCGAGAAGGTGTGCCATCGCTATAGCCTATACTCATTGTCAATGTGTACTAACTCTACTCAATGTGCAACCATTAGGGCAACGAAGCGGCGAACGTGACCGGACCCGGAGGTGTTCCCGTCAAGGGCTCGCCCTTTGCCGCCGAACGACGTTTCTATCAGCGCGGAGGCGGAGGGAGAGGCGGAAGGGGAGGCTTTCGCGGCGGAAGGGGTGGCTTCCGTAGAGGACCGCCACGCGATCGACGCGAAGAAGGCTTTGAGGGTCAGCAGCCTTTTGATGGCGAACAGCGCTTCGGTGGTGAGCGTAGACAAGGCAGTGGTCGCGGAGGCGGCGGCGCTAGTCGTGGCGGCGGTAGACCTATGTATAGGCGATACTTCCGACGCCCGCCGAGAGATCACTTGCCAACAGATGAGGGACAGGAGGGCGAAGAAGTAGACCGACAGCAAAGCTTTGATGGAAATAATTACGATCGCGACCAACGCCAGCGCCGCGGGGGTGGAGGACAGCGGAGATTCCACCGCAGATTTTTCCGCCGCCGTCCCCATAGACCGCGTTCTGATACTGAGGGCAGTCAGTCCGGCGTTGATGGAGAGGCCTCTGGTGTATGTGTTTGTATGACTTGTGTGTTGCATATCGTGTCTAATCTCTATCTATAGACTGAAGGAAGGGCTCACAAGTCGGACGACAACGCGGATGACGGACAGGGGGGTCAACGCCGTCGTCGCACGGGAACCGGATTTAGACCGCGTCGGCGTCAATACGGACAGACGGGAACTCGAGGCCCGCGTCGCTCATCTCGTGGCGGCCGTAAGTCAGAGGGAGACACCGGTCCGGGCGGTGACGAACAGGACATCGATAAAGAGTCGTCCGATAGTAAACCAAAAGGACAGTCAAACGAGTCTAACATCAAGACTGAGAATTGAAGCAACAATTCGTTTGCAGTCCTCTTAATAATGTTAACAACACTTACAGAATAGAAACACGAAAACCCTTTTCAATCAATTTTGCGAAACAGTTATAACAATTCAATTATAAGCAAACAATAATACAATTTATCATAATATCGAGTTTTAAAGATTCAAACACTTATTACTTGTAGTGATTAATACCATATTATATCTATTGTAAGACTAAACCAGAAGTCTATCTATATTAACAAAAAACAACACATATTTTACACCAGAATTTTTTGTCGCAACAAATTCAATACCAAACATCTCTTTCTAACGTTAAAAGTATTTGAATTTAACATAAAAACACTTAATATCCACTGTTTTTTGTGAGAATATATATCATATATATTGATATCAAACACATTGTATAACTTATTTGAAAACAAAATCTGAACATATTTTAAAAACTAAATCAATCGGAAATAATTGAAATTTTGAGAACATTTTTTAGATATTGTGTAATTGAAATCGAAAACCACTTCTACTCTAATTATTTATAATATAAATTGGAAAACAATTATAATAAAAACTTTAAAATTGAAGAGTTTGTTAAAACCCGCTGAATATGAATTATTTATTTGTAAAACAATTTTCTATTTTAATTTAAATTAAAAACTGCTTTCAAAACAATTCATGTCAATCATTTATTTAATATTTTTCAATATCAAAACAATAGTTTCAATACACTATTTGAGTACAGTATTAATCAATACAGTATTGAGCTATAAATAGATATGTTTATTATATTCGTTATCGTTTTATTATTCTCTATTTGTCTAGACTTTGAGTTGTTTTCACATTAGTTTCAAAACAAATATTGATGTTTATTAAAATTATTAAAGTTTTTTTTCAAAAAAACATTCAAATAATTATCACATTTTTACAATTTTCTCTACAATTACTACAAATCATGTGAAATGCGTTAACAATAATTGTTAACAATAATCAAAATCAAAGAATAGAGATATATATTTAACGAACTAATTATAATTAATAATTATCACATTTTTACAATTTTCTCTACAATTACTACAAATCATGTGAAATGCGTTAACAATAATTGTTAACAATAATCAAAATCAAAGAATAGAGATATATATTTAACGAACTAATTATAATTAATGAACGGCAGATTTTCAAACTTCCTTGGATTCCCATGTTGCCGAGACGGAAAATAGAGGGAAATTACGGAAAATACGAGAGTGTGGGAAGGGGAATTTATTTTGGGAAAATACTTTTTAATTTTTTTCAAAGCAAATGCTGATTACAATTGTGAGGAGCGAAACAACAGAATATATAACCCGTAAAACAAAATAACAGAATAATCTTATGGTTTAAAAGAGAATTTACATAAAAACTTGTTACATATCATTAATGAACGGCAGATTTTCAAACTTCCTTGGATTCCCATGTTGCCGCTACGGAGAATAGAGGGAAATTACGGAAAATACGAGAGTGTGGGAAGGGGAATTTATTTTGGGAAAATACTTTTTAATTTTAATGATTAGTTTTAGTGTTAATTGTAGATAAATTATTAAAAAAGCACACCAATCCCATTGTACGGTTCAAAGTATGACAATAAATGTTATCACGCTATCAGTGAATGACTCATATGAAATAGACAACCACTTACAGAGCATAAGCATTGGTTCATTCATATATATAGTGACGAAATAAGTCATCAACTTTTATACAATCATTTACAATAATTGTATAAATAAGTATATGATAAGAATTAATCAAAACAACTGAATGCTTATATCCATCCCAAATGACATGGATCAGACACTGGTGGTGATCATGTCGGTGATAATAGTCCGCTAGTGCCATAAATATGCGCCAAAGCCACTAATCAAAAGGTATTGCTATATGATTAATAAACAAATTAGTGACAATTTAATAATTCATATTTATTCAGTATAATTGAATTCATTTATCTCATTACCATTATCAGGTTCTTTAATGACAGTCCATAAAGTGCCCGTATAGTCCGTCCAGTGTAACCACAAACGATCGTTAGTTATTCTCGGCATTTTATTACGATTGTAATGATTTATGATTTAAGCACATGGTTATCACAAAACACTGGCAAATCTAAATGACTAGCGCTTAATTATTATAAGGAATTGGTGCATTAATTTAATACACGCTAATGTCATTTATCTGCACTAATGCCGTAACATTTTTAAATGGTAATTCATTTAACATAAAAACAATTAAATATAATAATAAAAGTTAATTCAATTGTTAAATAAAACACATAAGGGATACAAAAAACTCGTACTAAAACCGCGTGTAATTTATGTACAAATAAGTCACACAACAGACAATTCAATAGCATATACAGCTGTGTCGATGCTTTGCTCATTAGAGCGCAATTTTTAAAATATGACAACAAAATACAAATTAATTTTAATTAAATCAACTCATTTGATTTAACAAAATTATATGTAATATTATGTTTAAGCATATTAGGATACATGTATTCATTAAGTTAAAAGTATTTATATACATCGATTGGTCACTGTTTGACCACATTTTTGTTTTATATTCCCAATTTTAAGGAATATAAAGAATTTTCCGGCGCAAAACTATTTTCCTGGAAGATAGTTTGAAAACATGGGAAATGCCGCTCATTAATTATAATATATTAAATATCAAATAACTACATAATGTTATGTCTATTATATGATTGCTGTCTCGAAAGACTGATCCACTTGACCGTAAAGCAGATGCACTCATACCTCTCATACCTAAAACCTCGGTCTCGGGTGATCGTAGTGTTGGTGATCGATGTGAGAACGTCTGTTTGACCACATTTTTGTTTTATATTCCCAATTTTAAGGAATATAAAGAATTTTCCGGCGCAAAACTATTTTCCTGGAAGATAGTTTGAAAACATGGGAAATGCCGCTCATTAATTATAGTAAACATGTTTTGTAGTATTCTAATATTATTTTATTAAAATAATCAAGGTGCATTTATAATGTAGTAGTTTTCTGAACAAATAATTTAAATACTATTATTAACATATATTAATTGGCTACATTATACTTTTTACATTTGAAGCAAATAAACACTTGTATTAAAATAAATTTCACGACAAATAGATGATTGATTTATTAAATCACTTGTAAACTAATTGTGATAACACTCAACAATCTGAACATCAATCTCTAGCACTTATCTTATATTGTATGGAAATTTTCCACCAATAATATAGTTATTAAAATATAACATTTTTACTAACTTGTAATATTAAGTTCACTTATAGTACTATTCAGAATTTGAATATTAAATCAATTAAAATATGGTTTTCATGTAATTTCGTAAAGCTCTGGACTCAATGGAGAAAGAATTAAAATCAGGAATAATTAGTTTGACTTTATTTTTTAGACTAGAAATAAACTATAATTAAATTAAATATATAGAAAATTGGTTAAATTACAAAATCAATAGTATTTAAAGAGTAAAATTTAATTTAAACTATAATATCATATAATATAACAAGTTTTTTGATGATAATTAAATTGAATATAAAGTATGAGATCATGTTATGGAGAGAAAAATCTAATTAAATTAAATACTCGTTAATAGGGTTTGGATCTTAATGTCGCGAAAAGGGTAATCAAAACCTTAATTAAAATGCATTTCAAAGTCACTGTCCTTTTGTGTGTTTAAGTCAATGAATGCATAGATTTTTTGTCACTCTTTCCTCTCAAATGATGCGATGATCTCTTGTGTCGTAGACTTTGGGATTGAAATTACAAACTTTGAATGAAAGAGTGAGTGAATGAGAAATCGAGAGAAGAAGTCATAACAGAAGCGATAGGTTTCTCGTATTGAAAGAAAGCAAAATAATTGTATATTTGTTTGAGAGATAAGTTGGAAAC